AGTGGTGATACCAGACAAACATGGAGTTGACTGATTGTTGGACCTCGACGTTGTTAGTCTGGTCGATGCAACAGCTATCAATCCATGCCCAGTGATATCCTTTATCACGAGCAGTTTCACAGAATGACCGCAACTTCATGAAGCCACCAACTGGATCCAAGTGGTACACCCCCTCGCCCTGGATGTCATGTAGTGACGGCTCCTTCCCTTCCCACCTATGTGACAGCATGACATAACGGAAGTACATCGCCACCACGGTTTGGATGCGCTGCATTAGATCCACATGCGCCAGTGTTGATGATAAAAGCTTCTTGTACTCCGTGCTCGTTTTGAAGGCATCGATCTGTCCCTCTCGATCGCATGAGCGCCCAGTGGAGGTGTTGATGAAGCGATGCGGGGTGTCGTCAAATTGAGCCTTGATGCTCTCTCCAATAGCACGTTCTGCTTCGGATGGACCAACATACTGTTGCCGCAAATCTGGAGAAAGAATCAACAATGTTTGAAGGATGTTTTATTTGAGGCGTACTCCTTGTTTCCGTATCGGGAGCACTTTCCAACTTAGAGAGCATGGTTTTGAGCGCCTCGATGGCTTCATCATATCGATGTGCGCCATGAAGCACCGCATGCTTCAACTGATATCCAAAGTAAGATGAAGGGTCGAGTTCAATGACCTGCATATCACCAAAATCAGCGTCGAATGCAAAACGGTAACTGTCATCCCACCTTTTCCGCATCGAGGAGTGCATCGTTCCATAGCATTTTTCCTGACCTCGCTTTACTGCGGTTTGCAAAGGTGGTATGGGTTGCAAAGTCGAGATCGATCGCTGCAGAGTAAAGCTCGATAGCCTTGTCGTAATTACCCGCAGCGAGGGCTTCATCTCCGCCCACAGCGAGGTCAGTCACTCCAGCGGCAGCATAAAGCACGCTGCAACCTTGCTTGAAAACTAAGTGAAATGAGGTTTAGAATTATACCCGATTGACATCATGAAGACTTGCCAGTGGACCAATCACGGCAGTATACTTTCGTAGCTTCATCAGCCCTATCCATCATGTATCGGTATGCTTTAATGGCCTCTGGAAGTCTACCTGCCTTAAGAAATGCATGGCACCAATTCTGGTGTGCAGTTCGCCACAAGGACTTGAGGTCCCACCCGAATAACTGAAAAAGCACAGTGAGACGTCAAAAATGATTTCAGCTGCATTGAAATAAACCTACCACCACGAAGACATCATATCTAGAATGAATGTCCGACGTAGACGAAAAATCAATAGTGTTGACAGCAGCAGTGAAGTGGCCAATCATTTCATTGTGACGTGCGTCATCCAATGCATTCGTTCCCATTTGGACGTGTAGATAAGCCTAGAGTGCGAGGTTCGCAAAATCAGCATCGATGCATGATTCTGGAGTTGACTGTCAGGAGCACTCACTTCCACGATACCACAGGCAAGAGAATTTGGATTGGGACGAGTGGTAGCTAGCTGTTGGACGCGCAAAATTGCCTCGTCCTGTTGATTTGCATTGAAAAGGGCGATGGCCTGACAGCTGTTGTGTAAGTAGCGAGGACATGAGACACAATTGACGTACCTTGATCAAGAGTAGGAGACGGGTTTTATTCAAGTCTGCGTCCACGTACATGAATGCGAGGTCAAACGCTTTCATCGCGTCCTGGAATTGTCGTTTTCCACAGTGGGCGATGCTGTTGGAGATACAACCCATCAAGGATGGCTGAATACTGATACTCTGTATCACCGTAAAAATTAGCCAGTTTTAAAGTAATCACAACGAGAACATTATCACTTTTAATGCATCATCAAGTGCGCGGTCCCAGTCAGCTTTTCTCGCCATAACAAACGAGCGATTTGCATAAGAGTTGTAGTCATTGCCATCAGCACCGATATTTTGTGTTAAAAGCCTGTCAGCAGTAAGCAAGTCCCCGGTTATGCATGCATCGCGGGCTGTCGTGTTGATGGCGAGGATCTGCATCACGCATGGTCAAATTATGTGACAAGAATGAAAGCTAGAAACACACCTCGCAATCAGACTGTTGAGCCTTGACATCAAGATTGATGATCAATATACAAGAAGATGAACTGCCTGTAAATGAACGGGAACTCACATTATTTGCCGCATGTTCCTTCAAAGTGTCTTCCTGCAATACATCCTCGGAGAAAATAAGATGAAGAAGGGATGAAAAATGAACAGAATCTTACATCTGTTGCCCGGTCCCCGAGAACGTCCTCTAGCGAAGGTATTGCCCACTTTGAGATGATAAAATCACTTCCTCCACTCAGAATGTACTTGCCATCCATGGAGAAGGCGACGCAATACACCGCTTCGGTGTGTTTGAATATGGCAATGGCTTGTCGATCCGAAAGTCGCCAAAGGCAAACCTGGGGGGTGTTAGACGCGGTCGCGAGAAGGGTGCCGGCAGGGTTGAAGGCAATCTTGAAGACACCCCCAGTATGGCTATTGCAGGGCTCACCGACCTGCTTCCAGGTCGATGAATTCCAGATCCGTATGGTGGGATCACCATTGATACCAGTTGATACAAGCTGCTTGCCATCGGGCGTCCACGCGAGTGAAGCATTCCATGCTCCATACGCAGAGTGACCCTGGAACTTTGCGATGCAATCCCTCTTGCCTGGATTCCATATTTGGATATTTGACGTGGTTGCGATGGCAAGATATTCACCAGATGGTGAATACTGAACACAGTAGATTGGAGCGCCACAACTGATTGGACTTCCTTTCACCTGCCATGTTTTTGTGTTCCAAAGCTCCACTGTGGTGTCCACTGAGCCGCTGGCCAGCAACGTGCTGTCTGGGCCAAAATCAAGCGACACTATCTCTTTGGAGTGAACTTTGATGGGCTGGGTGAGAGATTCGCCGTCTCTGTTCCAGGCTATGACCTCTCCACCATTATCACCGCTTGCTATCCATTTCCCATCTCTTGATACTGCAAGTCCTTCCACTGGATTGGAATGCCCCTCCATTATCTTCAATACAACACCGTCTTCTAAGTCCCAAAGACGAAGTGTCTCGTCGCCCGAGGCCGTCACCATACGGTGTCTATCGGGGAAGACTGTGACTGCTACGAGACTATTTCCATGACCTTGAAATGTTTGATTGGGGGTGGTGATTCGAATGAGGGGGTGTTCTGCTTCCGTCATTCTGCTCGAGGTGGATGGTGTTGAGCACAACTTGCTAGAGAGACTGCGGGCGTCCTGAATCTTAAATAAGTTTCAGAGGTACCGGGCCTTTTTGTGCTTCGTGTATCATTACAGTATGTTGCATATGAGATTGCAGTAGTACCGTGTTTTTCAAAGGCACCTTTACACCCTAATTAGGTCAAGGGATGTGACATCTTGTAATACGCGTGTGAGTGACTCACGGTGGGTGTAAAGATGTCGGTAAAGGTAGCGAGGCCGAGTTTTCAAAAACAGGTACTGCAATCTCATATGCAACACACTGTAGACGCCCAGCACACGTGTATGATGTCCGGAATCTCCCCCTATCAGTGCACACCGGATCAGGTCACAGATATGTTTAGACTCTACTGGTGTGACAACAAAGTGGACCCAAGATGCACAAGAACGAAATTGCAAATTGAAAAGCTGTAAAGTCACTTACTCGTAAATGACAGTAGTGGACATCATGTCGACACCGAGTGCCAATATTATAGTGCCAGAGCGACGGCAAAAGCTAATGCGTATCGGGACCACATCCGTCTGTTCAACAACCTATGCGAATGATCATCGTACTAGTGAAGTACGTCGTTCCTCGGACTGCTGCTAAACCGTCCATCATAAACCTAGTATTCATTTATTTAAGTATGTAGAAACAAGCTGCATCCGTAACCATACCTTTATCACTTCCTTGAAGTGTAAAAATATCTCTCTGACGGAGAATCGAACTCTGCTCTCCCGCGGGCTGCTTCCTGACAGGCGGGTGTACTGACCGATATACTATCAGAGACGAAAACCTGCCGACGCTAGCGTACATAAATAGCTCAACGTATTTGTGCTTGTTTACCAGCACCTTCAACTTCTAGCAAGGACAAACAACTCGTTACTCGTCACATTCACCACTCCCAGTCGTTCAGAACATGGATGATCCTCTAGATGCCACATTTGTGACTGGGCTTTGCTATCTTCTGGCCCCAGTAGGCTGGCAGCCAGTTATAACAACCGTGCTCATACTTCTGTTCACTAGCTGTACCACTGTGCAGCCTTTCCTGGCAGTTTTTCCCAGACATGTATGTCGGAAATTTCTAGGCACCATTGTAGGTCCCTGGTAGACATTTTAAGGACAAATTTTCACATAGGCCATTATAATGCATGCGGATGACACACGATTTTATTTTAAGACCTTATAATGGTTGCCGTCGTCCATTGCAAGGCATTTGGATGGCTGTGTCATGACACGTGAGACACGGGCCTTGAAAGGCATTGTAATGCTGACATCAACCTTGAAATAGAAAAATAATAATTTAATGACCCACGTGATCTTTCAACACTTTCAACCGAACTTTAATTGTTGTACTACCATTTTATTTGTACGACTATCCTATTTATGTTACTATCTAATCATTATCTAGTACTATTATTAACTACTGTCTATCTAATCATGATCTATACTACTATTATTAACTATTGTAATGTACACTGGTGGGATTCGAACTCTAGACTTTGACCTTACCAAGTAGAACTGTAGTATTAACTGGCATAGTTACCCCTTAGCCAAACGGCCACATATAAGATGGAACCCCAATGCTATATGTGCACATTATAAGGTCCTTATAAGGCAACATAATGTCTTACCCAAAACTTAAGTTGCGGTTGAGGCCATCAAGTCTAAGGTTAAAATTGTAGCATTGCATATCAATCAAAACACATCTGACATCAAGTATGTAGTCCTAAGTACGAGGAGAGACTGATGTAAAGTCCAGAGTAGGAATAGCTAATGATAAGACCGAATAATAACAACCAAATGCTCTGAATCACCTCGTTGTTGGTTTCTTGCTGCGTGTGCTAATGTGTTTGGGTTTCGGAACATCTGGTACAGCAGCAGGGACAGGCTGAGCTGAAATACGACCCCTGACGCCATGCTTTTCCACCTGCTGGTTCAGTCTGCGCTGCCGAAGAATCACGATCAGTTAGCGATAACTGACTAACATCCACCTGTAGCTGCGTAGAAGACACGCCGGCACGTGGCTGGCTGATTGACATTGATGTTGAGACAATGATACAGTCATCCTGGGTGGTAGGATCTGCAGGCGCTGCAGAAAGAGCAGAGAGATTGGAAAGAGCCGGCGAGGGTGCGCGGAAAACAGGAAGAGTTCGGCGAAGGGTGCACGAGCAACAGGATTATCCAATTCCTCCAATAGGTCATCTTCCCAGGTGCGAGGGATGGAGGCAGAGGGTACAACGGATGCGGGTGCACTCAATAGCGCTGCACGGGTGTTGAAAACTTCCTTATTGAAGTATTCCATCACGCCAATTGCCCATGGAGAGCTTTTGAATAAGTGTTCCAGATAGAAGTCGTAATCCTTCTGGTAATCGATCTTCGTCTCTGCTCCGGTCGCAGTGAGCTCGGTATCGTGCGTTAACAAGAAACGTGCCTGTGAATGAATAATCAGCAATGATGCAAAGCAAAGGACGGACAATGATAGAATACTTACCAATATAGCAGCGCCAGCAATCATACCCTCAGTAACACTCTGCGCACCCATTCGCAGACCCCTGCCCTTTGGATGGCCCCTTGTCTTCCCACCAAGTATCGCCTTTCCATACACTTCAACGCGAATAATCTAGTATGAGCAATAGAGTTAGCCATCATACTTGGACATTGATCAGTGGCACTTACTTTGACGAGCACTGGAGACTTGAGGAAATCATCGGCTGACATAGCATTGGGCTTCGCAAATAGCACAGGTGCAAGGCGGATGTAATCGCCCTCTCCATTCCTCTTGAGCAGGACAAGGAGATCCTTGTTGTCCTGCTTTTTGGAAGGCTGGTCGGCAAAGATGCTGGGGTCGAGCTTGAAAGGAGAGAATATAACACCTGCACAATCCTTGATACTGTGCAGAATGTTTGACCTCTCGGAGCTGACTGCCGAACGAAACTAAGGCCAACAGAAGTATCAGCGTGAAATTTGGCAGTGTTTGAATCATAAACTTACCAATGATCCGAAACGTGGATAGGTTTCCATGGAGGTGTGCAAGTCTTTAGGTATGATCTGATACAGCTCAGCCATTGCACCTTTAAGCTTCGCATCGGGAGAGCTCCAACGTGTAGCGGCGCGTGGGTCGACATTAGCAGGTTGAGGAGAAGTCGGAAACAGACCGTTTATGACCCAGAAATGACTAAACAGGGTATACTTCTGTCCTTGGTGGGTGATGCTGGAATCCAGTGGAGACGTCTTCTTGAGCATGCGGTTGCGGCTGCGAGCAGGAATTGCAGATGAAAGAGTGAGATACTGTTTCTTGAGGACCCGTAGTTCAGAACGTGTTGCATGGTAAGCTTGCTGGGCTACCGCAAGGGCCTGATACGTAAGAGCATATATCAGATGATGTTGTAGACTAATAAGAATGATATAAGTGTCGTGCCTACCTTTCGAACATCATGCATTTGTGCATCTGGCCCAGGGACAGCCAGGACCGTCCTTACTGCATCCAAGTCGCTCCCAGATACTTCACCATCAGATCCATCAGAATAGAATCATCCGAGACGGCGTTAATCTCAGCCTCGAAATCTTCCCCAGCATTCATGTCAGTACGGCATGACAGTGTCTCTAAAACTGAGTGAGAGTGAGTGAGTTAATGGGACGCGGAGGATGAAATACCCATTGCCCACTTTATATAACATGCTCCGGGGCGATGCGCCAATGGACTCGGTTCCAGGACAAAGTATTATGTCGAAATAGAAACTTGTGGACCACAGGTGTCGATTTGCCGAGGTTGCTGGTCCTCGCTAACAGAATCAAGGCGATACACACTTACGACAATGTTGATAATTGTACATCAGTATGTTTCGCTAATAAGGACCAATACATAATAAGTCAGACTCACCTGTAAGTGCTAGGCAATTCTGAGCTGAGGCATCTTTGGTAAAAAATGCACACGTGTTGTTCGGATATTCCTGTGAAACATAATGAGCATTCCTATCCAAATACTGAGTAGACTTACCGGTCTAATTTGGAGGCTGGTTTGAGGCGTCTTTGGTAAAAAATGCACGCGTGTTGTTTGGATATCCCTGTAGAATATTATGAGCATTCCTACCTAAATAATAAGTAGACTTACTCGTGTAAATTTGGAGGCTGGTTTGAGGCGTCTTTGGTAAAAAACACACGCGTGTTGTTCGGATATCTCCTGTGATACTAAATGAGCATTCCTATTCAAATACTGAGTAGACTTACCGGTCTAATTTGGAGGCTGGTTTGAGGCGTCTTTGGTAAAAAAAATGCACGCGTGTTGTTTGGTATTCCTGCAGAATATCATGAGCATTCCTACCTAAATAATAAGTAGACTTACTTGTGTAAATTTGGAGGCGTCTTTGGTGAAAAACGCATGCGTGTTGTTCGGATATTTCCTGCAAGACATGATAAGCATTCCTATCCAAATACTGAGTAGACTTACTCGTCTGAATTTGGAGGCGGGTTTGAGGCATCTTTGGTAAAAATGCACGCATGTTGTTTGGATATTCCTGCAGAACATCACTGAGCGGTCCTACCCAAATACTGGAATGGACTTACTCATATGTGTTTCATTCGCAGAAAACATGTCACCTGTCAATGTGATCAACAACGAAGTATTCATCTTGATGCTCAGAATTCAGGGACTAGAACAGCTCCTTCGAATGAAAGATTTAAGCGGGACAAATATTGATGACGACCTCGGGACAGCCTTGACACGAGTAAGCTTGAAGGTGGAGTCTGTTCTGCGAGGACCGACTCTAGCAGTGTATGGTTGAACAAGTGCGAATTCGAAGGGCCCGAGATTCGAAATATGACATCTGAACATGAAAATTAGCTGGACGAAGGCTGTTTCCTCAGCGGTCAGTTGTATGAGCGCGTGATCGAATCGTGGCCGCCCATGGAATTTGGGGTTGCACCGAAGGTGGTCAGTATTTTGCCTCCAGTCCACAGCCGACTCATAGTTCACCTTGAGATAGCGGTGCTCGTGAATCTGTGTACCATGTTAGTATGATGCATTAGACAACTTGTACAGGATACTATTAGCATACCTTGAAATCGCCTGGGAATGTAACCCAACTCGTCAGTTGATGGCCATAGGTAGGCAGAGCATTGTTGATGAATTCACTAAATTTCCGACGAAAAGATTGAAATGGACGATCCATTTGACCACGACTCTCAACACCCAGGATGTCTAAGGGTGGCACCGGAGAGCCAAGTTTTACGTGGCCATTAAGGCTACAGGAACATCAATGTCTTCATCAAGCCCTGCCGTCGCCGAGTGCCTGCAACCGGCAGTGTTCATCAAGCGTGTTGACACGTTCTCTCAGAAGTTTCGAGGCGAATTTGTGGTGATCAATACTGAAGTATCTATCAATACAATTGTGTATGATGTGAATCAGTCTGAGTACTAACAACAAATGTATCTTGTAAACTGACTTGCAGTCAGCGATATCCTTTCCATTCGTTCGACGGTGATAGGTGTCTTTGAGGGGGCCATGAAGCTTCTCGTTCGGACGCGTGCTGTTAGTTCTTAGTGCTACTCCTTAAGTCAGGATATCACGAACAACATGTTTCCATAGGTGGGTCTTCGGAAAGTTCCAGTCAAGCTTCAATTTCTCGACCTCCGACTCTTCAGCGCATGTAATATAAGCCTAGGAATGAATGTGTCAGTGTAAATGAGTATAATTAGCTACATAGACAACAAGTAAAGACTAACCTTGAGCTCAGCATCGAAAACTAAAGAGCTCGGCATCGATCGCTGCAAGTGTGCGCCTCAGTATGCAAATCCAGGACCGATTCCAGCTATCCAGCTGGAGATAACTGCTGATAACGCGAAGCAGCTGGTGGCCTACAGGACTGGCTCTGTGCCGTCAGGATGTTTCAAAGCCGGATATAATGTTTGCTTCAAGATAATGAGTGATATGAAAGATCACAAAACAAGCCAAAAAACTTACCTTAGAGAGGTCCTGGTATTTGTTGCCATCAGTGAATGTAATGTTGATAACGGATTTCGAAATGAGTGAGGTGGCGCCATCGGGGGAAGTTAGCGATCCTGTAACTGTGAGAACAGGATAGGTGTGAATACAATCGACAACTTACGACTTCTCGAATGCTTCTTGAGCATCGCGTCCAAGCGACGCGAGGATTTTCTTCAATTCTTCAAGTAGGTGCTTCCACAGACCGCGTGCAATGAATGCAGCCGATCTAAACTAAGTGCATCGTGGGGGACTCGAACGCAAGATGAGCCAAAAAACATTCTAAGCTTCATATTAGCAAGGAATGAGTTTGAAACAACACAAGTGCATACCGCAACAGGTCCGTAATTGAGCGCTTTGAGTATCTGCTCGCCTTCAGCTTTACTGCACCCATAAATACGGAGAGCTTCTTGTGCTTCTTCCACGGTTCTGATTGGGTAGCTCTTTGACAGGTGTGGAGATCCGCTAATGGTACTAGCACACGGGGCAAGGGCATTTGCACAGCGGCAAGTCTATCAGCGACATCATGCACTGTGAATGAAATAGGTTAGTATAACTGTCAAGACCCATAAGAAAGGCAAAAGGCCATGAGCGTGTTTACCCTTGGAATGGCCACCAGCCAAGCGACGAAGATGGAAAACGAAACTCACTGTTCTTCATTAGTCAGCCGAAAGAATCAGTATCACAGGGAAACAGCCATCGCGGAATGCACATTATAGCCCTTGTGTGAATATACAGTCTTTGAGTGCGGGCGACATGTTCACAGGAGCTTTTGAAAAATGATTCATGCCACACAACGCGCCTTCAAAGTTGTGTATCCGAGTTTTCCTTCTTCGGCTGCATCGTCAGGAACCTGCAACATGTAAATTCAACCATCTGACATATATTGAGAACGAAACAACTCACAATAGGTCAACCATCCGAACTACACGACCACCACCAAACCCCTCGCCATTACGGATGTCTACAGGTAAGTTTGCGCATCGGACTACAACTGGATACCCTTTGACGGTACCATGAGACGACAGCTTCGACTTATCAGCGTAGAGAATGAAACAGAATGGGACAGCGTTTTCAACGTCGGGCGGAAGAGAAGACTATTGGTTTGACATTTATATACATTTACACACGATATGACACAGTTAATTGTAACGCACTTGAATATCCCACCACCGATCTCCTGTCCAAGGTTCATTGAAAAAGCGTTCGAAATCCGTACCGTTGTGCTTGTAAACACGGCAGGCATCCCACACGAAATGCGGTGCGAGCAGGGGGTTGTCCAGTAGATCGAGGGCCCAATCCCACACAGGCCGTGTGTGGACCTCGTATTCTTGCTCCTTCCTCTTGTATATCACAGGGACTTCGTGCTTTGAAAACTAATGGCAGGTTGCCTAAGGCATTGAGCATATGATCATGTAAGTAGATTCAGTCAGACACACCGGTGTTAATTCAGCCGCAGCATTGTCCCATGCCCTCGAAAGATCTGTCTCATTCTTCAGAGTGATTTGAGCTTGACCTTGAGCGATGCGCGAAATGAGTTCAAGGAGGGCATTTATTTGAGACTTATTTAGCGCAGCATCAAGCGCAATCTCAGAGAATTCGAAGTCCCCGCGTGACCTGAAAGGACGCCATGGTTCCTCGTCAACGGGTGCGTGCTGCATCTCCTGAGTGATACCGAATTCGTCGAACATCTGGTAGAGAGTCGCACGAGCAGAGCGAGGGTGATACTCCGTTTTGAATTCGCTGGGCATTTGCACAGATGCCGCATGAGGCTGGACAACCGTGGGGTTGCTAGCCATGCTGGCATCGGATAGTACTGAGCGAAAACGATGGGTCAGCAAGATGCAGTAGATTGTAGGTTAATACTTACCGGGGCTAGTTGGATTCCCGTGTTCATCCTCGAGTTGGCTATAGTCGAAGTCTTGGAGATCGTCGATGGGGGCATGGTGAACTTGAATGTCATTCGATGGGCCAGCCTCGCTGGTTGCAGCCTTTCGGCGAGCCTTTCGTGCTAGAATGCAAAAGATCAATTAATATGACTCAGATACAAGGTGATGGTGCGATGAGTCAAACTCACCATTTTGTTTCCCCTTCTCATACTCCTGGTTGAATCGATGTCGCTCCTGCTCATTTTCGATCCGTTTCTTGCAGCTAGCCTCATGTTTCTTGAAGCCCTGCGTTTTGAATGACTTGCCGCAATGAGTGCACGGCAGCTGGGCCTTTAGCGTCTCTTCTGAATAATGGTACTTCTCTCGACGAGAAGTACGAGTCGGAGCCATCAGATGTAACAATATGAATAGAGTGTACAAGTGTACAATATTTACAAAGAGGATGGGACAGCTGGCCGCGAGGCTGATGCGGAATGGAACAAAGTTATGCGCCGATAGCACGTTACGGTGCATTATGATGATTGTCTCACGGTCGAAAGGCCAT